CAATCCAAATGTCTATTAACCAATAAACATAAACTAATTGTGGCGTATACATACAATGGAGTATTAGTTAGCCATAAAATGGAACGAAGTACTGATACATGATACAATGCAGATGAACCTCCAAAGCATTATGCTAAGTAAAAGAAGCCAGACACAAAAGGTCACATATTGTATGATTCCAATTATATATGAAATGTCCAGAATAGGTAAATCCATAGACACTGAAAGCTGACTGGTGGTTGCCAAGGGCCGGGAAGGGGGAATAATGAGAAGTAACTGCGTAATGGGTATGGAGTTTTTACTTAGGGGTAATGAAAATGTTTTGGAACTAGACAGAGGTGGTGGCTGCAAAATATTGTGAATTATATTAAATGTTACTGAACTATATGCTTTAAAATGGTTAATTTTATGTCAATTTCACTGCAACTTAAGAATAAAAGCATACCAAGTTTAACAAGCTTAGATATCATCTCCTGTATAGAAAGTAACCATACAAGAATAAATTTAACACAACCTTAATCTTTAAAACTCAATTTTACCTATACATAGGGATGCCATCATCTGTCATATTGCCACGAATATAATTCACTACAACGTAATCACTGAAACTTTTTAATGTATTGTCCCACTTAGAACATCTATTTTTACTAAATTTTGAGACTAGAAATATCTATATTATAAAGATAGAATTAATTTTAAGTTAGACATTTAAAAAACTCAACAATGAAAATTTAGCACAATTCTATAACGTGGTATTCTCAAGAAATGAACATTTTAAAGTCTCTAACAGTAAGCTCTAAATGAACACACTGAGCTAGGTACTATCTTAATTCAATCCTAAAGAGGCCCACGTTTGATTTAGGAATACAGGTCAATTTCTATCATGATAAACAGAAATTATTTCAATTAATAGTATTCAAGATTGTCATATGACAAAATTATAAATCTACAAAAACTTGTCTAAGTAAAATAAATATGTTAATACATACCTCTGCACACAGGTGGAAATAGCAAAGAAGTATTGTTGCTTCTGAACATGTAATAACCAGAATGATAAACACCAGAAACAGGAAGCCAAACATGTAATACATCTGATGAGACCTATAATAAATTGACATATTGATAAAATCATAAATATTTTCTCTTTAACACAGTAAATGATACACTCTTTTCATTTTTCCTGAACTGAAAATGTTTGCTTTTTCTCTCAACTAATTAAACAAGACAAATTGTAATAGGTTTAGATGGTGATGGGGGTTGGGAGCTGGGCGGGGGAAGAAAGGATATGGCAACGTCATTGGACCTTAGGTTTCTTCTCAGGTAGAACCTGAAACTCAGATTTACTCAAATATGCTTAGTCGATTTGTCTACTAGTGACTCACACACATTTGATACAAAGTTAACAGACGGCAGAGCCAAACTAAGAAAAGGCTACATTTGATACATAAGGTTTCTTATTACATATGATAAAAATCATTATAACAATCAGTGTAACAATCTGGAAGGAGAGATAGGTTCTAATCACTAAAACCCTCAAATTCAGTTTTCACTTTATGCTACTTCAAACTCTGTCACTAGATTAGCTCAAAATCACCACTATGAGTTTTTCCATGCAGACAAGGAATCACAGAGCGAAACTGTTTTGGGCTTGGAAAGGACTCTGAAGGTGATCTAGCTCAAGCCTTCCTCCAACACTTGTCAAATCCCTCTGTCAGGAGCTCAGAGTACCTTCTCTCTGGAACAGTACAGACTAGCTTTTTAAGAACGTGGGTTTGGATAACCTTAGGGTTATTTTCTGTCACACAGCAGCTGTGTGACACGGGAAAATCAACCTCAAAAGCCTCTTTTTCATCTCTGTAAAATGGGGAAAGTTCTGAGAATTAAGTAATAAGAATTAAGTAAGAAGTAACAAGCCTTCAATTTATAGGTATTATTACTATTATTCATTTTTCCCACTTGGAAAAGGTAAAACAACCCTAAGTTGTCTGGTTACTGGAGAGTTGTTTTTGTTTATAAGATGCAAACAGTAATCCATATTAAAAAGAGAAAGCTAGTATTAAGTATAAATTCAGTGGAAATAAGAGGACGTTGCCCATAGCTTACCAAATACTATTCAGAATGAAGAAAAGCTGTATAAAGATACACCCAAATGGCAAAATCCCTCCCATGACAATACCAGGCAACGGCTTTGTGTAGAACGACTGCTCAGGAATCTGACGTGGAATCTGATTGGTTCGAACTGGGTGTTCAATGGCCTAAAGCAACGAAAGAAAGGATTCATATTATTCTATTTTAAAAATTCTTCTCTGTACTAGACTATTTGCCTGCTTTTCCTCAGCTTCCATGCTGACACTAATGGCAGTGACAGTCTACTTAAGTTATGAAACTGAAATTTGTATTTAGAAGCAATGAACCAGATTACCAACAAAGACGATCTTCAGTCTGAATAATGGAACAAGTCACCACTGTTTGCAGCAGTTATCCACTGACTAATGGCTTTATATGAAGTAAGAAACACACAGAAGGAAATAATACAGTACTTGGAAAATAATAGTTAATAAAAAGGTAAAGCTGGGCTTTTCTTTTTTAATTACATACTTAACTATAAGAAAACAGCTGATCTTGAAATTTTTGTCAATGTATTTTTATCTGGAGGTAGTGAGATCCCACAGGATACGTTTCTACCTTTTACGCACTTTCATGATATATTTTAAATGGAAATTGATTTGAATAAGTTAACACCTATAAACTTACATTCTTCTTAAAACCAAAGTATGCACCAATAAACGTTAGAGGCACAGATATGCAGAACCAAAGAGCCAATATGGCAACCAACGTTCCAAAAGGAATAGCTGCTGAAGATCCTTCTCCCCAGAGAATCAGATTCATTATAAAGAAGTCAGCAAATACAATCCTGAAAGACACAACAGGCTTTTGGATAAAACCAGAGTTAGAGGCAAAATGATATAGTAACTATAATATGCAATTAATAATTAGAAAGAAAATGCCAAACGAAGAGGTAGAGGAAAACCTGCTTTCTGGGAAAATCCCTTCTGTTTCTGCCTTTCCATCCTCACTGCCTCTGGTGTTACATCCACGGTCCCATCTCTGACCTAAGCTACAGTAACAGCCTAACTGGTCTCCTACTACTCTTTCTCACCACCAAACCAGCCTCTACATGCATCCAAAGTGCTACTATTTCGCAGACTGAGTAACACTCGGGTCCAAAGGATGAGCCATTTTATATAGGAAGAAGGGAAAGGAGACTGAGAGTAGAAAGGGAGGGTCACCAAGCACAAACACTGGTTCCTCAAGGTGACTTCTATAACTGCCTAGTCAAAGAAGAGCAAAAGAACAGACAAATTATAGTTTAGGAATGCTTCTTCACTAAGGATAATTAAGTTATTAAGTTAGAAAATATTAAATAGCCGGCCGGGGGGGAAAATACACTATTGTTAACTTGTTCTCTATAAGCCACAGGTAAGTGAATGACATCTCTGAAAATTCAAGGATAATTCTTTTCTGTTACCAAAGCTTTTATTTTATGGACTTAGAAAAGAATCATCTACTTCTTCCCGGTATAGTTAAAGTCAGTTGATTGAAGTTGTAAAGCACCTAGAAAAGAACCTAAATTTAAGAGGCAGATGGTTCAAAAATGAGCTCTTCATTTTTCACCAGCTGACAGGCCTGGTTTCTAATACCATGACATCCACTAAATGCTTTATACGCATCACCTACTAACCCTATGAGAGAGGTACTATTATTGCCCCTCTTTCAAAGATAAACAACAGGTTAAGTAACTTGCCTGAGTCACAGCAACTGGACGTGGCAGAACCAGGATTCAAACATAAGCTCTTAATCACTACACTATACTATCTCCCAAAACCATCCTGCAGAAGATATTCTTTAATACGTATTTACTGAATGCCTACTATGTGCAAGGCACTGAGCAGAGCTACAATAGAGATAGGGTTTCTGTTCTCTTAGACCTTACACAGAAGTAATTCCAATCCAGTCACTTGCAACACATGAAAATATACTGCATTACAATTTTTTTACATTAGCAACTGGCCAGAAATCAAAGCATCTTCAATTTTATATAAATTACGTTTTATGGCTACACTGTGGTAGCCGTTAGCCACATGTCGCCATTAAGAACTTGAAATGTGGCTAGTCTGAATTGAGATGTATATAAAATACATACCAGAATTTGAAGACTTAGTGAAAAGGAAAATATCTTACTATTGTAGATTACAGATTGAAACTATATTTTGAATATATTGGTTAAATAAGGTATATTATTACAATTCATTTCACTTAGCT